GACACATAGCCTCTGCAACCGTCAAATCTGTCTCTGTGCGCGACCACTACCCCAACGCAGAGGTTCTGCAACCATCATTGCGCACCTCAAAAAAATCCTGACTACACGTCGGACGATCGCAAACCCCTGGAGACCTCAAGCGGAAGTGTGCAGACAAAAAGCAGCTGTGAATGGTCCTTGGTATGCCTTTCTGGCTATCTGCGTGGCCGTCCTTCTCGATTTGGTGCCGGGGCGCGCCATTTTTAAAAACCGAGGAACAACTACAATGAACAACTACGACGAAAGGTTAATCGAGGAGGTTCGTAAGTACAACCACATGCATGATGCCTCAGACAAATGATATAAAGATGCCAAGGCGAAAGTTCTCGCGCGTTCTTGAATAGGCTCCCCCTTGCGCTTTAAAGGGAAACTGCTGTGCGTCCCTAGAAATTTCAGACCATAGCATCCCAGAGAAACTGGTACACGACCAGACCCAAGCGACATTTGATGTATGCGGGTGCAGAAGTCTAATCTGCAACCTTATCAGTCATGTTTTCGGTCTGTGGGAGGAAGCAGGAGTACCCGGAGAGAACCCATGCATGCACAGGGAGAACATGCAAACTCAATGCAGAAAGACCCCGGGCTGGCAATCGAACCAAGAACCTTCTTACAGCAAGGCAGCAGTGTTACCCACTGTTGCATTGAGTAGCCCAATAAATAATATAAAATGAATTAATTTTATTCTAATTACATCAAATTTGATTGTTTGATATGTAAATTTAAATGGATTTTTTTATTATTTATGGGGACAATAAATTATAATTAGTACTATAATTGTAACATCATTATATATGATTAATAAATTAATAACCTTTTGTATTAATATCCTTATTTTCTTTAACATTAAGAAGGTATTTTTATTAATTGTTATATTTCAAGTTGCGCACAGACAGAATGATCAGTGGTAGTATTGATTCTGTAGGAAGGCATTGCACATTACCTGCAGAGGAGGAGTCATCATGGTCGGAGCTCAGGTAGCCATCGCTCCTCCGGTCAGGTGTGCTGCGGCCTGAGCCCCTGGATGCCCGGTGGTGGACATGGGGGAAGGACGGGGACAGCCGGCCATCATCCCCGGAGTCAAAGTCCCTGCTCTGGCGGAACGGCCGCAGATTGTCCCTGCAGATGGTGGGGGTCCGCTGGCCGTCCTTGCCTCCGCTTTTCGGCGTCAACAAGTTATTCCTGACGAAATTGTCGTTGAGCTCCACATCCTCGTATTCTCGGTCACTGTCCTCCTCCTCGTTGTCGTTAGCGGCCTTGTTTCCCCCCCGGGGTTTCTGCGGCGGCACCGGGATGGGGACGTACTTACCTGTCCTGCCGGTGAACCTGCTCCGCTCTCGGCTGTAAGGGCTGGGTGTGTCGGCCGCCCCGCTAAGCCTCATGCCTCCGGAGTCGGACACCTTGGTCCTCTCTCCGCCGCCTTCATCTTCCCGCCGCGGTGGTTTTTTAACATTCCCTATCTTGGGAACGACAAACGTCTCTGCGTTGAAGTTTTCATCTTTGCCCACGAACCTCTGCGGGTCGTTTCTCTTCTGCTGGGCCACGGTGGTCTGCAGGTATATCACCTTGAATTTCTCCTCCGCCAGAGCCTTCTGGAGCTTCTTCAGGTTGGCTTTACATGATTCCAGCTCCGACTCGATGTCCTCCACGGAGCTCAGGTCCATTCGAGGGACCTCGGCGTCGGGGAACTCATTCCTCCAGTGTTTAGCGAATTCCTCCTGTTCCCACATTGTGATGTTCAGGCGACCGTTAGGGAGAGAAAGCTGGAGCTGACTGTCTTCACCGTCACTGAGCGGTAAATCTGTCGCATACACCCACCTTCCTCTTGGCAACCTTTCTTTTTTTTTTTTTCAGACAAATATTCCCTGCTGACAGAAGGCTAACACTTTTCAGACAGTCTTCATCCCTCCACAGACAGCAGGCAGGCAGAGGACGCGAGCGCTCACAGATGCGGTTTAACAAGTTCGCCACTGTGTTAAAAAAGTTTGAGACTTCCTGTATCGAGCCATGGTGCCTTCAAGTACTTCTGGGAAAATTTCAGTTTTCATTGTTTTTCGATTTTTTTTTTTTTTAACGCTCCAAGCTCTAATAAACAATTAAATCTAATAACATATAATAAATATTTGCTGAAAATATGCTGTATTTGCTGTACTTTCTTTTTCTTTTTATTTTCTAAAATTTCTCTCCTTTCTTTGTTAGTCATGTTACTTCTACACTTCTAGTTTGGTTTTATGGCTTTTGGTTTCACATATCTTTTTTTGCTATGTATTTTATGTTTACAATGCCGAATAACTTTATTGCGTATCATATTCGTTAAAAATGCAATGTTCTAAGCTTTTTTTAATAACACGAAGCGTGGGCTTTAAATAAAATCCGACTTTATCCAAATGCAACATGAGAGTAGTCAATGTTTAACGGTCTGGTCCTTTCATAAAGGTCTGTTTCCAAAGGTAAAGAAGCCACCGGAAAAGGCCAATCCTTTATTTTCAAGGCCTTGTAACTTGTGACTTTATTACAGAATACTGCTATGCTCAACTTGTTCCTGTTATAATGTGTTTTTGATATATATTGCTGTACTAAATGTATCAGGTATCTGCAGGTTATGATTATCATTTTATGACTACTAGTGGTAGTAGGGGTAATAGTATGTCCCAATTCTTCTTTTTTTTTATTTTTTACCAAGGGTTGCACTAAGGGGCCAGGGTTGGGTGACAGTCGCCCCTATTATTGTTCCCAACTAATCTCCTAGACAGTGTCTGAAATTAATGTAAAGTTAAGATGCACATTTTTCAGTAAGCTGCAATATCTATCTATATGTTGCAAAAATATATAAATAAATTTCATAAAATAAGATAACCCCATTTTCTGAGAGTAGTAATGTATAAAACATCTAACACTTTCAAGATTATTTAATTGACCTGGTTATTTTATTATTATTATTATTATTTAATTATTTATTTTTATTTATTTTAGCCAGGGGCAGGCCAATATTATATGCATATATAATTATATGCACTATTGTAAACTACTCAAAAAAAATTATAGGAACACTTTGTAATCAGAGTATAGCATCAAGTCAGTTAAACTTCTGGAATATTGATTTGGTCAGGTAAGTAGCAGAGGGGGTTGTTAATCAGTTTCAGCTGCTTTGGTGTTAATGAAATTAACAACAGGTGCACTAGAGGGGCAAAAACGAGACGACCATCAAAACAGGAATGGTTTTACAGGTGGAGGCCACTGACATTTTTTCCCCTACTCATCTTTTCTGACTCTTTTTCAGCAGTTTTGCATTTGGCTAGGGTCACTGTCACTACTGTTAGCAAGAGGCGCTGTCTGGACCCTACAGAGGTTGCACAGGCAGTCCAACTCCTCCAGGATGGCACATCAGTACGTGCCATTGCCAGAACGTTTGCTGTGTCTCCCAGCACAATCTCAAGATCATGGAGAAGATTCCAGGAGAGCTGGACAGGGCCGTAGAAGGTCTACAACCCATCAGCAGGACCGGTATCTGCACCTTTGTACAAGGAGGAGTAGGAGGAGCACTGCCAGAACCCTACAAAATGACCTCCAGCAGGCCACTGGTTTGAATGTCTCTGACCAAACAATCAGAAACAGACTTCACGAGGGTGACCTGAGGGCCCGACGTCCTCTAGTGCTCACTGCCCGGCACCGTGGAGCTCGATTGGCATTTAACACAGAACACCGGAATTGGCAAGTCCGCCACTGGCTCCCTGTGCTTTTCACAGATGAGAGCAGGTTCACCCTGAGCACATGTGATAGACGTGAAAGGGTCTGGAGAAGCCGTGGAGAACATTATGCTGCCTGTAACATCGCTCAGCATGACCCGTTTGGTGGTGGGTCAGTGATGGCCGCCTGGTTGCACCTCAGACTGTCCAGGAGCTCAGTAATGCCCTGGTCCAGATCGGGGAGGAGATCGCCCAGGACGCCATCCGTCGTCTCATTAGGAGCATGCCCCGACGTCGTCAGGCATGCATACATGCACTTTGGGGCCATACACATTACTGAATACCATTTTGAGTTGCTATGCAATGAAATTTCAGCAAAATGGACTAGCCTGCCGCATCATTTTTTCACTGTAATTTTTGGGGTGTCTTTGAATTCATCCCTCTGTTGGTTGATAATTTGTATTTCCATCAAATGATGTGGTATCCTTTTGTTCCTAACGCATCACCCAGTACATATCAGTATAAATAAACATTATGATTGTTTTCCCCATTGAGATCTGATGTGTTTTCAAAGTGTGCCGTTCATTTTTTGTGTGCAGTGTGCTGTTTGTGTATTTGTTTGTCAAACAAAATCCCAATGGTTTCAAAATAATATTTCCCAAAAAAACTTAATATATGTTGTTAGACTTAATGTTAAATTAATGATTTTTCTCCTAAAAGTTGTGCCAGATTTCCAAAAGTCTAACCCAGTGGTCCAATAGCCAAGTAATCAAGTCAAAAGTTGTGGGTTTAAAAAATATATATTATTATGCTTTTTTTTTTTCACATTATACACACAACTAAGTTTGCAAATATTCTCTACCAAAGGGTTGTTGAATTCATTTTAGATATAAAAAAATAAATAAAACTGTAATGAGACTGGAGACAGTTGTAACAAGGGAGGGTTGAAATGACTATTTTTCTCCAATCAGACACATGCTATATTGATCACATTAATACCACACATGCCCATTTGGACCCTCACCCTAACCAGCGGGACAGAAAGGACATTTGAGATAACCTGCTAGATGTATTGGAGAAAAGAAAACCAAACATGTTTTTAAAAGTGTCAAAGCAAATTTTTCATGTGTTTTCCATGTTTTCTGTCTGCTTGTATGAATTAATTACCACAGAGATAGACTGATTCTTATTTAGTTTACAGGTTAGGTTGGGATGTCTGATGATCCCTTTCACAAAATCAGCATTTGTTTTTTTGTTTTAATACTATATTATTCCGAGATTTTGCATTGTTTGAACAACTTAATTAACAACAAATCTCCAACTTTGAGCATTCTCGTTATTTAAGTTCTACAAACAATTGAAAATCTTAGGATAATACGTCAATTGAAACAAAAAACCGATGTTGATTTTTGTAACTGAATGGATTTATGACATGTTGCAACTGTTTCAGAGATGGGGCTGTTGTAACACTTAATTTCTTAGAATAAATATTAATGAAAAATTTGTCCCATTCCAGGGTAATTAAACGAGAGGTGTATGTTAGATAAATAAATGGTTCCTGCAGTCTCAGATGTTGTGCAGTAATTGAGATATTTCTCTTTTTAAAAGAGAAATATGCAGTCAATATTATTTCTGGGTTCAAATTCAAATAAAAAAAAGAGTACAAAAAATAAGGTGATTTCCATCTACATTAACAGCTTCGCTGGTGGGGCAAAGCTTTCCTTGAATTGCAGCACAAAACGATCCGAGGCCACTTTGGACCCCCTGCAATAAACGTCACATGTAATAATAATGCAAGAGCCACAGATTGAAGAAATCAGTTTATTAGAACCTCTCTGACAAAATGAAGCAGAATTAAAGATTATTCTGTAAATTCTGCTCTCCGCTAGATGATCCTGAAGAAAATGTCCTGGTATTAGTCCGCTTTTACTATGAAAGTTTTACAATGAACTGTTTTTAATTAATGAAAGCTGCATATTTATAATCATTTTCTTTTTACTCCTGCCTTCCAGAGCTATTGCCCCATGTCAAATGATTGAATTACCTCTGCATCGTATCATCAAGTTTGGCTCGCTGCAGAGTTTTTTTTTTTTTCTTTATTGGGTTCAAGTACAGTATGTTGGAGCAGAGATATTTATTTGCCTTTGTGGTTTTGTTGCACCTGGGGTTTTTAAAATGAAAATAGAAAGACAATGTTTTGTTTATAGTACTGTTGTAAGGAAGGAAAAATCATTCTAAGACCTCATTCAGACATATATTTATATAAAAAAAAAAAAAAAACATTTTTATTATTATCATTATTATTATTTTTTTGGAGGGTTATTCACACTCTACTAATGAATTTCTGCTTAATAGTTAGTAGCGGTTCTGGATTTTTTCAGATTTATATATATGCATTCTGCTATGACAGACATAAAAGCAGGAATTTATTTGCATCTTATTGCCAAAACAACCCCTGCATTTCCAACAATGTGCTGCCAACTGTTCTTTTTGCAGAGCAGAAATATAGAAGGAAGGCACAAACACGCTCTTACATAACTGTTCTTCCGTCCAGCTGGTGGTTTCAGCAGTTTGACTTCAAGAAAGAGAAGTTTTATCAGACTGCTTGCTGAAATCAGAGGAGAAGCATAACTGCTCCCACTGCAAGACCCCAGTGGGGTTTGAACATGCATTTAACCACAACAGGTGCATGTCAGAGCGGCAGAAGATTACTTCCTCATTCTCCTGTCTGCACTGATGTTTATAATTAACAATGTAAATGTAAACTTTTGTAAAATTTTATGAATCAAGCAGTGAGATAAATCTCCCCTTACCGTGTGCATTTTTCATTGCAAGTAAACATTTCATAAACATAATTTATAGAATGCAGAATGGAGTCCAGCTAAACTCAGTCTGCATCATCTTAGCAGATCCCAGCAGCTGCATCCAGAAACAATCTGGTAAGCTGCCCTGCAGAATTCTTCCAGTAAAACAGATGCAATGAGAAGCAGTGAGGAGGGGAGGAAACAGAGGTGGAACCAAAGTGCACAATTGGACTCCTGCCCAGAACGTAAAGATCATTCTCCACTCCATATCTATTGATTAGGTATAGTTGTGGTCATCTGAGTTCTGACTGGATTAAAGTGATGAACAGGTCAAGACTGTCATGCAGCTACATCTCTACTTTCATGCCAGTTAGCAGAAACGATGAGACATCAACAAGTGTTCAGCACTGTCCAAATAAACAACAGCCAGCAAAGCAGAAGTGAAAAAAAAAAAAGCTTGCTCAGGGTGGTTTACACACCAAAAGCACGATTAAGATGAGCCGACTAAAGTGTGGGCAGAAGAGTCTCATTTAGAGCCCATATCAATTAATCAAAAACCAACATGGAGGCCTGCATGTAAGCCTTGGTACGTGTACAATCCAGCAACAAGGTGCAAACTAAATGTTTTTCATGCAGCAGCTTTACCCAGTTGTTTCAATGCCACGCCCCTCGGCTCCCCTCTCTTCCAGCTTTTCTGGATTCCTGACATGTTTAGTGATAATGACTTCAGCCATGTCATAATTATAGTTTTTGCTCATATTGGACATATTTTGGCTTGAGCCAGATGTTATGCATACTAAATCAAAAACACGTTCTTTACTCTCTTTTGTTCTCTTTGTATTCTTTGGAAATCTGAAATACAGTTTAGTTCTGAAAACAAGAGAACCCAGAAGAAAATTATACAGCTCAAAAGTTGTTCTATAGTGAATGAGACATATTTGAGTTTCTCATCTAGGCCTCATTTTAGTTCTATTTTATCAAAAATACCTCTTATGTGTTTATTCTATCATGCACTAGGAGAAATAAGGTGAGATGCTAAAATTACAGTACAGAACTCCTGCAAAACTTGAATTTACACATTCAAACTCATTCATACTCATCATCTTCGCTGACCGAAGCGAAGCTCCACAGGAGCCACCGGGCCCTCTGAACACCATCAGATCTCTTCAGTTTAGGTCACTTGCCCAAGGGCACAACAACACTGAAAGTCAGTGCTTGAACCCACAACCCTCTGTTTGCAGGACAAACTCCTGCATCCGACGCCACTGTTGCAAAACCGAGTGAAAACGAAAGGAAAAAGATGGGTAAGTTAATTTGAGAGAGGGCCTCCACTCGAAAATAGAAATATGTCTTTCTAGTCAGGGATTGAGAATGGATTTATTTTTCTTTATGAGAGGCAAAATATTCAAATCTTATTTTACCTTATAATCCTGCATATAGTCACACCTAAATATGTTATTTCTTCTTTCTCTAGAATCCCATATAAGGTGCTTTAGTGATAATCATGTATTGACATTATCTCACATTTTCATAAATGTATCTATGATCCAGAGGCTCTAGAAAAACTAAAGGGATCTTTTTCCATCTTTCAGAAAAATAGTGGTATCATCAGTGAGCTTAGTTCTTATTAGAGCAGGGGTCTTCAACGTTTTCCAGGCCAAGGACCCCCAAACTGGTGGTAATATGGAGCGGTGACCCCCCTAATTTTATATAATGTATCAATTAAATTGTTTTATATCAAAATGGTTCTATAGTCACACTATTACAGATGAAGTAATGCAACGAAAGAAATTTCTCCCTGGGATTATTAAAGTATTTCTGATTCGGATTCCTGGTTGATGGGACAGGTGTTGTGAATGAAACGGTGCCCAGCTTGAAAGAGCTCCTGTGTGTCGCTGAATGTGTGCATTGATGCCTGAAAGACATCTTCTGCCTCCATTTATCTGTTTACTACAGTGAGTTGAATTCATGTTAATGTGTCTTTAAAGGCATTTCAATTAGTGGAAAAAATTGCATGGTGGAATATATTAAAAAAAAAAGTCTAATCAAGCAAAAGTTTCTCGACCCCCATGCAGTACCTCCGTGGACCCCCTAGGGGTCGCGGACCCCCTGTTGAAGACCTCCGTATTAGAGGATAACCCGATACATTTAAGGGCTCAATATCTTGGCTATTGTTAAGAATAACAGCCAATATTAAAAGCCAAGAATAAAGGAGAGCAAAGGCAACTCCATTTGATTCCCCGCTGCTCTTGAAGCTGTGGTTGTTCCTTCAGAGAGAAGGAGACTGAACTATTAATAACCTTACACAGTAAAATAATCACTTTAATGAACTTTTTATTTTCTTTCCAGCGTTTTATTGTCATTACACTGTCACAAGTACAAAGCAATATAATTAACTCTCTGCATTTAACCCATCCCCTTGGGGAGCAGTGGCCTGCCATTGTGCGGCGCCCGGGGAGCAGTGTGGGGCTGAGGGTCTTGCTCAGGGACCCAGAGTGGCAGGCTGTGGGAGTGGGGCTTGAAGCTCTGGCCTCAGAATGCCCACTAGGCTGCCACTCCCCAAATTTTTTTTTTAATTGTTTTTTTTTAACCTTTTTTTTTAAAGTGAGTTTAAAATTTTTAATAAGCAAGGAATAATCAGGCGATGGCTTTCAATATATCTTTTGTCTTTTCCTGGTTTGGGAAATACTCTTTGATTCATTGTTGGCAATAAATGATCTTTTTAAATTCATTCTTTAATAATTCTGTTAAATCTTCCCAGAAAAAAATTCTGAAAATTGGAAGTGAAACCATCTCGACCAGGTGTTTTACCTACTGACATTTGTTTTAAAGTAACATCTAATTATTTATCTGTACTTCAGTTGAATAACATTTTGAATGTGGCTTACATTCTAGGAATGCTGTGTTTAATACTTTAAAAAAAAAAAAGGATATGAAGCTGTGATAAGAGACTTATAATAGACCGCCTTCATAGAGAGCTCTCTGATTTCTATGAGTCAGATCAAAAAGAGACACAAAAGTTGAGAAACTCTAAGATTGGGCTTTCTGAGAGCTTTTCTACAGTTTGAAAGAAGCCTAAATCGAGCTTTAGTACAGAGAACAGAAACACAAGAGAATTAAACCTTAGTTTCATTTTGGAGTCTTTCTAGGATAAGCACATGAAACATTTGGAGATCTCATTTCAGATTTTCCTTTCCTCTGGGATTTCCTATTTCTCCAAGGTTATTGTCATAGCTAAATGTTTGTGGTTATCATGACAGAACTTACAAAATAAACAAAAAGATGAGTTGCTTGTATTGACATAATGAGTCAAAATTAGAGAAAAATGATTGCAATCTAATCTGGCCATGTGTTAAAAAGATTTATAACTGGTTTTGTGACTCCTGGAGGCAACAACTGTTCTCATGTGTTTGTGATTACTAGTGACTATTTCATGGCTGTGAAGGCATTTCGGCCCACTCTACTTCATGGAGTTGTTTTAACACAGACACACTGAAGGATTTAGCTCATATTAACAGCTTGTTTGAGATTATGCTGATGCATTTCCATAGGATTTCAGTATTGACTTGAATTTCCCCCCTGGAAAAAAAAAAAATATATATATATATATGTATATATAAACACATATGTTGACCTGCTGGAGTCCAATTGTGTTGACATCCAACCTGATAGTTATGAAATAATGGCTGCTCCAGCCATCAGTAGAATTCACGGTTCCATTGTGCATGACAACACAACAGTTTACAGCAGCTGATAAGCACAGTAGTGGAGGGGTGATGATTGGTGCTTGTTTTAGCAAAACAAGATGCGCACTGCTGACCAGTTGATGGTCAAATGGTCAATGCTCTCTGTGCATCGTTCTAGAATCTTACGCAATGAAAAGAAAATGGAAACCGAAGTAAGTCAGTTTTTCTTAAAATAAGTGCATATTTCTTAAATTGAGCAGGTAAATGAGACACTTTTCCAAAGGAAAAACACAATTTGCATTCAAAATGAGAAATTAAAACTACAGTCTCTTATTTCAAGTGCATGATATCCAGTTATCTTTTTTTAAGGGTAAAAATATTCATTCCATTGGCGGATCATCTTACTTTACCTACTCAAATTAAGGGTTATTACAAATTTTTCCATTTCTTTAAACCGCTTTTTATAACTGGCATCAGAGCTATACCTGATTTTTTTTATTTATTGAATTTATTAAACTCATTGTGCCCAAACAAAGCAATTAAACACAAAAAACAAACATTCTAAAGTCTAGGATGAAAGGGAGCAAAAAGAAGAAACTTATAATGTTGAATCATATTTTTTTTTTTTATGACTTTACTTTATCTTTACTTTACAAATAAACGAAAGTGGGTAATCTGGTGTGTTTACACCCTTTTCCCTGTGAAAACAAGGTTTACGTCCAAACCAGGAGCTCAATTTGTGGTTGTATGGCGCCCTCTTGTGGTCTAAATGGATATCTTGAATTAGAAAGTTCAAGGAAAAACAAACTTCTGCACACAGATGCACTACATTTATTGAATGGATAATCTTCACAGTACTTTTACTGTTTAATATAAACTGGGAACATAGAAATATTGCTGATTGAAAAATGACCAACAGTAAGATAATGTTGTTACACAGAGAGACGCAAGACAACAATAACATCAGACAGTAAAGTGTCTGAACAAGTTCTATACAACACTCAAAAATCAAACATACATAAATAGATATATATCAAAAAATACACATTGATATAGTTACAAAACATGTCTCACACTGTCAATGGAGCGTAAAGGACGAGAACATGTACCGTCTATCCTAAACATGGCGTTTTGTGGATCGACACCCTTTTACACAAAATCCTCATGCGAGTTTCTCTGAAACCGCTTGAATAAGGCAACAATAGGACAGCACCTCAGATGCAACCACTGGAGTTAAAGGTAGGTGGAATCAAAGGCCACACAGCACACCCAGACACCTCTTACAGACACGTTTCCAGCAGAAGACAACAACAGTTCTGGGTTCAGAGGTTGTAGGTTTTGATCTTCTACGGCCTTCCTGAGCAGCAGTAGGAAACTTAAAGAGTGTGTTTGGAATGTTTAATAAGCCAAGAATAATCAGGCCTTCGCTTTCAAACTATAAGAAATAAAAGTTTGCTTCATTTAATGTAAATAAGTGGTTAGAAATAACAGTATCATAAATACTTAGCTTAACAGGTGAATTTTTGCATAGTTAATACATTTTTTACAGATATTAAAAAGATAATAACTAAATCAGAATGTTATTTTGCACTGAGCCTGTGATTTGCAGCCTGTGCAAAGTTGACGCACATATTTCTGTGGGTTTTATTTGCCTTTATCACGCTTTCCTTATGGCACTGGCCAACAAATTTTCTCTCCTGGTGGTCACGAACGCCTGTTGTTTCTCGTAGTAGGCGGCCTCATTTATAAAAGTGGGATAGACGGTGCTGGGGCCTTGGTAGTGGATGGACTTTCCGTCGAACGTTTGGAACATTGGGTCACCGGGGTTCAGCGGCTCCCAGTCGCAGTCCTGAAACAACAACAAACAACCGTTGGAAGGGAAATAACTAATGGCTGCTTCAGCTAACATAATAATAAAAAAAAAAACCTCTCCCATCGAAGGCAGCTGTGTATTACTTCAGATTTACCTGCAGGTTGGGGTGAACCATGGCAATGATGTTCCCATTGGCATCCCTGGGGTAGTCCATCCTCTCCAAGACCCGGAAGACCTCCACAGAACATGCAGGAAACTCCATTCCTAACGCACACACCGAGACATGCACTCTGTTAACAATATAATCATGAGTTTCGCTGTGGATCAAAGGATAAAACCTGGCACCTTCACTTAAAATGTATAATCTATAGTAAGGTGTGCATATTGTTTACTTTTTTGTTACTACTAAGGACTATTATAATGTAGCACAACTCTGTGCAGTAGAGAAAATAAAGCTCAGGCTGTCTGATGCTCCTGCTGGTCTGCCGTCTAGCTTTTGTTCCATCAAACTTATCACTATTGTTATTTATTTATCTTCACATCAGTTCCTACAAGCTAAAGCAAATACTACCCACAGCATGACTCTGCCAGCTCCATGTTTCTTAGTGTGCTCAGGGTCATGTGTAGCTGTAGGTTTTCCACCACAAACAGTTTGTATATAATCAAAAAAGTTCTGTTTCGGTCTTATCCAATCAGCACATGCAGGGAAACTTTCTAAAAAAAGACTATTATCCTACATCAAACTAACAATTTAAAACTCTGCATTGGTTTTGCACACAGAATCGCATTACATTACAAAGCAGTTTATAGTTTTAATGGATTTTAAAAGACATAACTCTTTTAATGTTGTTGCATTTGGACTGATTTAGAGCTGCGATTAGTAAAAGATTTTGAAAACAGTCAAGGAACCATGAGAACAAACACCTCAGCCACAATTTTACCCAGTGTCCTGATGCAGCGAGGCATTTTAAACGGTAATGGGAAGTTTCTTTCAAAGCCAAAAGCCCGGATTTTATCGAGGGGTTCAGCTTCAATGCGCTGGAACATCGATTCATTATGCCGGGGCATTCATTAGCACCAGTGTGGTCCTTCGACAGAAGGTTACAGCAGCTTTGGCAACCAGATTCTCAGGACATGGAAAGCGACCAGCTCCCAGCAAGCAGACCCATTCAACAGCAGGACAGTCAGAGGAGAGCAACAGGCTGCAACCAGGACTTGGCACAGACAGCTGGCTTATGTAAAAGGAAGGACAGTGCAGAAAACTAAACACCGACCAGCATAAGTCAGCCCGATGGGCATTTAATGGATTAAAGAAAGCTTGTTTTTCTAAAACATGTCAGACACAACATCACTTTGTCTGCTCTGTCCTTCAGAAGATTTAGAGGGCAGCTCATCTTTCTGCATGCTAATCTTTACGTATGCTTCTATTTCAGCCTTAAAGCAAAATTTTTTGCTTTGCAGCCGAAACATTAAGATTTCTACCTTCGTTAAACAGTTCGATGAAGTCCAGAGCATGTTTCAGTATGACCCTCATGGCTTCGAAGATGTTACTTCTTAAAACTCCTTGAGGCTGAGGACCCACTTCCAGACCTGCAATAAAAACAATAAAGCATCATCTGTTTGCACTGAGGGGATAACATCAAAAAGTAACCTGTAGCTGCAGATCTATATAGGAGCAGGTCAAATATCTGAGAATATCTTAGAAAGACGGGGAGATCAGACATCAATCACCAGGCAAGAGATGAAGAGAGGAGATTTACAGGCAACATACACTCAACGAGAACATTACTGGCAGTAATACGAGGCTTTGGGGTGTGATTTTACAGTATGACCCCCTATCCAAATGTTTAATTCATTTTTTAAGCAAGTTGCAAAGAAAGTTGCACACAGCTGTCTTTGCAGGAAGGGTGAGCTCCCGCCGGCATTATTCAACCTGGAAATTTACCATTCTTGTAACCAGAAAGGTTAGATCTCTTTTTAGATTCCTAACAGGAACTCTGATAATGGGCATGGATGATGCGTTTCCAAAAAATATTAGGTCTGATCCCTATCAGAGGTTTAAAGTTAGATTCTGTTTTTTATACCTCCACCAAGGAGATTATGGTTTTTAGAGTTAGTGTGTTTGTGTGTCTGTGTACAGGGTAACTTAAAGGTCACGGAGGAATTTTAATTACATTTTTTATTAGAGTTGTCCCTCATGCCAAGGAATTTTGGTGCTGATCCAAATCATAATCTGGATACATGAATTGTTTAAAAGATTCTCTAACCTTGGGAGGTAAGAATACTTGGTGGAAAAAGCAGTTCCCCACTAAACCAGAGGGGAGCGACTTAGCATTAGACTCAATACTAAGACTCAGCATTGACAAAGTCTGCAGGTATTTTACTGAAGACAAACACACGAGAAAAATGAACATTGTAGGTTTGTTACCAGCATCAATTGAAAACTTCTGAATGCATTTTATGGACATTTTGGAACAATTCATTTAATTTTTTGTAATGATCCAGATCATGTGGTAGTTTTAGCTACAGGTATAAGCTAAAAAATGGGGCAAAGTTTGCTGCTTGGTGGTGGTCTGCGCGCTCTGAGTGCTGTTCTAGTTCATTTATAGATTCAGATAGATCTATTCAAATTTTGCTTCTTTATTTTCTCTTTTATTTAGTGTATCCTGTTTTCTGTCATTTTCTCTCAGCTCCTGATTTAGTTCCTTTATTCTGTGGATTTTTCTCAGCAGTTTCCAATCTCTGATCACCTCCAAAGCAGCTAATGGTGTGATGGTTTCCTAATCACGCATATCTGCCTGTCCTGGTACCTCACCTGCTTCCTGTCAGTCTCTAGTTTTCCTCATTTGTCTCCTCTCTTTAATGTGGTTAAACACTGAGTTGTGTCCAAATTTCATCCTCCATGCTGCTGAACATGAAGTTGGTCCTCCTTTTACTTTTAGCAATGCAACATGACCACTATTAGAGTGAAGTAAACCTTCAGCATAATGCAGCCACTACCGTGCTTTGACAATAGGCTCCAAGTTGTTTGGTGTTGATGCTCCCAGCCATTCTTCTGGCAACTGTGAAAATGGAGCTTAATCTTTGTTTTCTCTGACCCTATCAAACTGTTCCTCAGAATAAACTGGAATTATCTTTGAATGATATTCAGTTTGATTTGTCAATTTTAGGGAGCTAAGGCTCCTTTCTCTGCTGTCCTCCATCTATAAAGGCGTAAAACTGCAGCTAACATGACCGCTGACTCTGATGCTATAGCATCTATATGAGAGGTTTGCAACCTTGGTTGGTTTCTGGACTGTTTTTGAACTTTTCCAGGGGCGTAATTTGAAAGGGCGTAAAAAATGTGGCAGCAGAACAGTGGCATTTCTAATGGTTGGGTAATGCAACTCACCCCCTTTCTAGCCAAAAACTTGGTTTCATGCTCCCTGTTTACCAAACATTAACCATTTGCTTTACTTTGCAGCCAGAGCAGTGAAAGCAGTTGTACTTCAAAAACAGGAAAAGTGACCTAAATAGTAGCCAGACATTTTTTCTTACTATTGGTTGTTTTGTAAATAACCCCACAGTTCATGAAAGAAGAGGTTTAGAGGAGCATGTCTGTTAAAAAGATGCATTACCCCCCAAAAAATGACATAATTTTCAACTTTATCTGAAAGCAACAGATATTTTTTTCTTTTGCTCTCCATAGATTATGGCCTGATTAAACTAAGCTGACAGCGAGTCAATTTAGGTGGTTTATGATAGAACCAATGTTACACCACTGAACATTTAATAGCATTTTCATAACCAGATACTCCAGTCACACAATGATTAGTTTTGGGTCAGATAATTTAAGGACTTCTTATGAAAGGGCATAAAACCAACTAATAAAAAAAAAAAAGCTTTTCACAAAAAAGGTCAAATATCAGGGCTGCATTAAGTCAGAAGGTTGTTGAAAGAGGCAACTAGTGTATAGCTAAGGTGCAATTTAAGAAAGATTTATGCAAAACGATTTCAGTTCACGTGTAACGTTATTAACCAGTATGGATCTGAGAAAACTCACCTCATTCCCAAATGTGCAGCCAGTTAGAGATGATTCTTTATTTTAATTTATTAAAATGATTAAAAGCTTTAAAGTATGACATTTATGAGTAAATACACAATTTACATGATGAGTAAATACACTTCAGAATGAATCTATATGACTTTTAAATATATAAGTGCTTGAATTCTAAATTACCTCACTGCTCTTTGTTAATAACCTTTATTGTTTATTATAAAATTTTGGAACCAGCAAAATAAATAAGGAATGAGTAAGAGACTTACCGACAGGGTGCTTGGCCACAGAGCGAGAGGTGGAATATTTCAGCAGAGGGTGTTCATTGAGCAGAACAAGACAGCTAGCAGGAGCAAAGGCTTTCTGCAAAACAAAAGCAACAACAATCAGATAAACTGCAGATAAAAAACAAAACAAAGAAAAACACACCAAAAACAAAACAACAAAATGGAAAAACCTTTTGTGTCAAAGACCTATCAAACACATCAGAGTGGAAAGAAACATCTGAAACAACTCTACCAGCCTGATGCAAACAGTGCTGTGTTCAATGACCAATGGAGTTAATAGAAATAAACATTTCTGTTTCAAAATAAACCTGTGGTAAATATCTATTTATATTCATACATATAAAGCTGTCAAAACATGAACTCTGCTTTAGAGTCTTCTTGCTGCTGCTTATTTTTTTAATAACCATTTCATTAGAAAAGGTAATAGTTACAGCAACCAACCTGGTCCGAGTTAAAACATAACTGCTACCCAATTATAACCTAATCACAACACACAGCCGTTAGATGTTTATATAAATTTTCTTTGCAAAGCTTTTTGAAATCAGATACGCTAAAAGTTTTTTTAAGAATGAGCAGCTAGGATAAGATATGACCTTAGACACTGATAGAAAGTTCAAAAAGGTTATTTTTAGCCATAAAGAGGCGGGTAGAGAGCAGATATTTGGGGCACTGGTGGTGTAGTGGTTAGAGCATTAAGCTTTGGTCCTGGAGGTTCTGAGTTTAAGTCCCACAGACTGCCACTCTGGGTCCCTGAGCAAAGACCCTTAACCCCACACTGCTCTCTGGGTGCCAACAGTGGCAGCCCACTGCTCTCTAAGGGGATGGTGAAATGTATAGTTCATTTCGTTTCTCTGTTTTTTGTGACAGCGTAATGACAATAAAGTTGGAAATAAAATTTCATGATTTTAATAAATACTTCAGGCTGTTCAGGTTCTGAAGCAGCAAAACAGACTCAGACCATCATTCTACCTCCACCATGTTTGACTGATGTTATGATATTCTTTTCAGAAATATCAGATAAGTCGAGGCCATGAAATCTTCTTCCAAACCAGTTTTTTAAAATTTTTATTAAATGAGCTTCTTAGTGGTACAGTGGGTAGCACTGCATGGAGTTTGCATGTTCTCCCTGAGCATGTGTGGGTTCTCTCTGGGTACTCCGGCTTCCTCCCACAGTCCAAAAACATGACTGTTAGGTTGATTGGCTTCTCTAAATTCTCCTTAGGTGTGAGTGTGTGCATGAATGGTTGTTTGTCCTGTTTGTATCTGTGTAGCCCTGCGATGGACTGGCGACCTGTCCAGGGTGTACACCGCCTCTCGCCGTAGACAGCTGGAGATAGGCACCAGCACCCCTCGCATCCGCGTGAGAGAAATTGGATGGATTTTAAATTAAATGAGGCAGGCCTGCTCCCCAGGCGCCGCACAATGGCAGCCCAAAAGCAGAGGAAAAATGTGAGATCAATAAAGTTTCATTATTATTATTAGTTCTATGTGTTCTCTTTGCTCCAGAGTGGTTTCATAGAGAACACATTGATTGCAGATCAGATTGTTCTGGGTTTGTTTGACATCTAGTTTATTAGTTGTGGATCTTTGAGTAATTTTTGTAGACAGGCTACTGATCAGGCTGGCTCTCATTTCAGTTTGCCAATTTCAAAAATCTAAATTACTTTTTTATCTTTTCCATCCGGATAGCAAAACAAATGAATGAACTTTCATTCAGCATATTTTATGGTCCTACAAACATCTACATCCGATCTATACAAGAATTCAGAATTCTCCTGTGAAATGTTATGCTGAGGTGTTTCAGCAGATGTTTTTTTTTTTTTTTTGGTGCTAACCCTCTCTAAGTCGGAGTTTGGAGCTGAAGGCAAGAGCAATGCAAAAAATTTAAATCCAGATGTTTAGGGATGACTTCTATGTAGTCTTGGGGAGAGGTGAGTTTATGAAAACCTTCTGAAATAATCCTGCAATAAGCAGACTGAGGGATGTTATACATCTCCTCATTCTGTCAAAACGTCAGAGTGATGGTTCTTACCCAGACATCAGTCAAATATCTAGAAGAACGAAACCACCTGACAAACAGATGTGGCTAATTCCAGGTTCGGTAAGTATAAAAGCTCCAGAAAATCTGTTTCAATCATTTGCATTTCCAGCTCCAAAGCATAGACAGAGGCTAATATTTAGTTTTTAAATCACATGGTTTAGTGAACGGGATGAAGGAATACTAGGCAGTGTGTTTTTCTTTCTGAAGCCAGATTTAACCACCTCGGCTGACAAGAAACTGTCTGCTGAGCTGAAAGCTGCAGCATGGATCTAACTGAGCACATCAGGCAGGAGGTAAATATAGAAAGGCTTCACAGCATGGTCGTTCATAATCTGCAAAAAGCCTTTAAGACTGTACATCAAAAAGCACTGAAAATGATTTTGGATTTGCTGTAGATAATCTTAGGACATTGCAAAAACAAATCATTTCCGCATATCAAACAGTGATTCAGCCTTTCTAACTTCCTAACATATTTTTGTTCTTTTATTTTTACATGCAACCAATGTTTCACCTGCATATGAAGGGAACTTTGTGTACATTTTCTGGGTTTACATCAAAACATGAGGGAATAAAAAAACACTTTCTTGTAAAAATACAATAAGAGCTATAAGCTACATTAAAAAAACGAGAGGTTAGCGTTGATTTAAATGTGAACGATTCCACTCCTCCAAAATAGATGTCAATAGACTTGAGCTTTCCAGTTTTTTACTTCCTGATAAACAGATTATTCTTGGGCTAAAGTCAGCATGCACCGAAGTTCAATAGTCTTACTTGAATAGTTAGTTAATCCTCTACATACCCCCCCGACCCCACCCCAGCATTCATGGGAAAGGTAAGAAGGTCAGTTTATTAGTAACATATTGTAATTAAATCTGGTTACAGAAAGCAAGTTGATGTAAATCAGTGCAGTGATGGAAAACTAAGAGAGGATCAGTGACTTCTGGTCTCCGTCCTTCTGTTGATTCATTAACCTTATATAAGATGTGTGTGCATGGGGGGTTTATATAACGAAATGCACCATGCACATCTATTTTAGTAAGGACTCACTAACTTAAATGTATTATTGTATTAGGATTTTATGTGATACGTACATCAAGACATGGTCTAAAAGAATTGTAAATGTGGAAATAAACAAGACATGCATTGCAAAAACTTTCTTAAATTAAGCGTATTTACCCTTTATTTGAGTACCGGTAGGTGAATAAGATGATGTGCCAGTAGAATTAGTATTTATACTCTTAAAATAAGATAATTAGATACTATGCACTTGAAAATAAGACAATACAATTGCTTTTTTCTTATTTTTAATGTAAATTGTCTTGTTTCACTGGCAAAGTGTTGCACTTACCTCCTCAATTCAAGAAAACAAAACACTTATTTTAAGAAAATACTTGATTTCAATGTTTTGTTGCTTCTTTTTTTCTAGATTTTTCGCAAATAGATATTTAAAAAAAAAATGTCATCCTTCCTGTACTCTGACACAAATCTTAAAATGCAGCACCGCCACCTGCTAACAAGCTTCTAGAATTACCGTCCTGCTGGAAGGTGAACTTCTGCCTCCATCTCAGGTGTTTTGCAGCCTTTAACATCTCTATCTACTCCGAAGTGCAAATGTAAATGAGACTATCCTCCAGCACGTTTCATACATTGGAAGGCTGGTTAATTAGACATATTGTTGTACTAATTAAAACTTTTAATTGGCTTTGCTAACATAAAAAACAAAACAAATTGTAAACATGATTACTTTTGCACACCTTTAACGTGTCTCATCTTTAACTAATAGCCTACGGAGGCTGTCACCTTTATGTAATTCATCATCTGCAGATTGAAGGCATCTTTGGAGCTTTCCAGGATCAGAGTGCATCCCATGTTGGATGTGGTGTTGTGGAGGTCGAAGATTACGTCGTATGCGTCTGCGCTTCCTTTGGGTCCGAACATCCTGTTGATCTCCTGGGCCCTCTGCACTTCGTAGGGCAGCTCGTCGCCTCCTGTCACACTGCAGGACACAAACGGGTATATCATTAAAAAAGCTATCAGAAACAAAGCTGAAGGCTGAAATATGTGAAACACGTATGTATGAAAAAAACATTTTCCACAGCTGTGACTTCAGCAGATCTAAAGGAATATCTTTAGGCATGCTAACCCTCAATTTATCAGGTAAAGGCCGGATTTAGCTTATTTCTAGTGTTGCATTTTGCAGGACAGGGTCAGTTTATCCTCTAATTAAACTGTAATGCATTCGAAAAATGACTAATGATTTAGATGAGGTGGTTGAAAAGGACACCCTGCAGTTTACATTCTATCAACCTCATCACATCTGGTCTTTTGTTAGGACATGAGCCTATAAGCACTTCAGAACATATGGGCCCACAGCTGAGGGACAAGTAGGTGCTGAGGACGGGGAAATGCAGAGCTTTCAGACTATGGAGATTAATGTTGTTGTTTTTTGTCTTAATGAGCTGTTTTTAGTCTCCTTATACTCTGTCTTCAGGGAGGAAAAACAGCATGGAGACTGTGCAGTTTGAAAAATGAACCAAGACAATTATCAGACAACCTGAGCACTCGCTACATCGTCTGCATAGGAAACAGATGTGTCCACACCACAGAGACACCGTATGTTGGTGAAAAGAAGCGCTTAGACGTTCAAGTGTGTAAAATAAGCAATACTTAAACCCTTAATAATGATTCTCCAGACTGGGGCTCATATTTAACTCTTTTTAATAATTATTCCCATGCAAAACAGCAAAAAAAAAAAAAAAGAAGCTAAACATAAAATGTTGTTGCTATATCAGCAAAACATTAATCATAAAAAAAAATTTGAAATACATTCCACATTTTTATTTCAGTTCAATCTATTTTTTTTTTCTTAACAAGCTTTATGTTAAAGTCTGCAGGTCGGAGATCAGCTAACATGACACACAGGGAATTTTATAGTCATGAAATACATACAGATGTGGGTGGTTATTGGAGCTTTACAAATACATTGTTTTCCCCTCTTACAGAGATCTTTCAACCATTAGATTCACATTTAACATTCCCTAAGAGCCCCTCCTATTCAATATTCATAGAAGAAATTAACGTATAGCTGTAACAAAATGTGTTACACAAAGAATAAGAATGGAACTGAAGTAATAATTTCTGGAGCAAAGGAAGAGCCTTCAAAGATGCAGCAAGAAACCTTTAATCGGGCTCTAAACCTGTGTGTAAAGATGGACTTAGATCTGAGCCTTCAGAGGCACATAAAAACAGTAAAGTCGTCCTTCTATCACTTAAAGAACTTCTACTGGATTAAAGGAATAATTTCTCTGCAGGCCGTTGAAAAACAAATGAATCCATTCATCTTTAGTAAATTACTTCCACAGTGTCCGCACAGGTCTGCTTAAAAAAATTATCAAACAGCTGCAGCTGATCCAGAATGCTGCTGCCAGCATCCTCACTATAACTAAGAAAGTAGAACACATCAGCCCAGTTCCAAAGACCTTCCACTGGCTTCCTGTTTCTCAGATAACATACTTTAAAATATGTCTGTCAATCTATAAATCACTGAATGGCTTAACTTCAGAATAAATTACACACAGTCAGTGGATCAACCAGCCTGACCTCTCAGATCTTCTGGCTCTAATGTACTTTGCAGGACCAGAGCCAAACATGGAGAAGCAGATTTTAGTTCCATATAGCTCTAATTTGGAATAAACTACCAGAAAACTTTAAAAGTGCTGAAACCCTGAGTTGCTTTAAAACGTGATTGAAAACTGATTTGTCTAGAGCAGCATTAGACTGAGCTATTTAAATATAATTAGTTACATTTTCAGTCAAAATTTCTTTTTTTCATGAATAAACAAACCTGCACTGCTTTTTGTTTTTGGTTATTTTTGCTCATATTCTCATGTTAAATCACACATTAACCCAATAATAACAGTTAATACACTCTAAATCGTCAAAGCTACAACCTAAGCTTTTCAGGCCAATCTCGTCTTTTTGTCAAAAGCACACCCCCCAACGTTATAACATGAATCAACACTGACCACCTTTTTCAGTTTCAGTATTAAAAACCAACATTAGTAGCAACAACTTACATAAAAAGAACCTATATAGCAAGTAGGCCACAGTGTTCTAAAAACCAACACCTCATGTTTTCACTGAAACATAAAACATGGGAAAGTGTCGAACTGACCAAGAGGGGGCCGATACTAAGGACTCATCCACGAGTTTGCTAAAGAACTTAACACAACAAGCTCTGCAGGACTCAGAGTCAGAGTTCATGATCCAACATTACGCAATGGATTGAGCAAAAAAAAAAAAAAAGGCATCTATGGGAGACAGTTCTAAGGCAAGAAAGAATGCTGACTGAAAAAATAACAACATTAAGGCCCTCAGGGTTACTAAAGAACTCACTAATCATCTTTGACCCTTCGGCTAATAATATAGATGTAATAAACCTCATGTAAACTAATTGCAGAAAATGGATGACACAGTCAAATGTGAAAGTACTAGTTTAGATCTGAGGCTGCTTTGCTTCCTTGAAATTTGTTCTCTCTCACATAAAATCCTGAAGTAGAAAATGTTGCCTTGAAATTCATCCCCACTGGTCATGGTTCTGCAGCTGGACTCTGATCTAAAGCACAACAACAAGTCTGATTTTAAAAGGTTACAAAAGGAGAAAATACAGATTTAAAAGTGGCCTAGTCAAAGTTAGGATTAAAACTCAGTTGTGTGTTTTATCAAGCTGTTTCTAGTGGGGGGGTCAACTAACACTAGGCCTGGCTGTTTTTGGATGCCAAAAATTGAGAAGTATTTGGAAACCACTTTCTGTATCAATTTGTATCTGAAAGTACACTGCAAAAAAAAAAAAAAGATTTAAAAAAAATCTACAAAAAAAAGTGAATTTACCCTTAATTTGAGTAGGTAAATGAAATGATCTGTCAATGGAATGAGTGTTTACATGTTAATTTTATTATTCTATTGGTAAATGTCTAACTTTCCTGCTCAATTCAAGATAAAAAAAAAAATATATTTTAAGAGAAACTGACTTACTCACATTTTTTACATTTTTTGCAATATAAGATGTGTTTATTTATCTAACATTATAGATGCAAAAGAATGGAAATAGCACAGGCCGTTATGCATGAATCCGTTATAAATTGATCAAATGAATAAATAGTTGAGGATTTTTCCACAGTGAACCATAACAAACCAGGTGGTGTTTTTCTTCCATAATAGGTGGCGGTGCCCACTGAGCCAGTGTTTGCGTAACGCGTCCTCTCCTCTCCGATCCACAGAAAGTGACAGCGCTTCTTATTACGCAGCTCGGTCACGTTCCGCTCACGTTGCTCCTGCAGGCTGTCTGGCAGTCAGCTGCAGCCCGGCACAGGAGGAGGGGGCCACGCTGCTCCGCCCTTATTGGCTACTGGACCCAAACACCAACCTATGATACCAACATCTTTATGCTGATCCACGTGATGCAACAGAAAACATACTTTGATGACCTTTGAAATGTACTCTGTTATGTTCCAGTGGGATTCCTGTCTCCTGCAGCCTGCTCTTTCATGCATCATATAATGTGGCATACATGTTTAGTGTTTTATGAGTTATTTATTAGATTGTTTGCATAAAGTTAGATAAAAACAGCAGCAGAGTCCGTCATCCAGCTGTTTACCTGAGGTTCTCCTGAGTGAAGGCTCGGTTCAGGTCCGTGTCCACGTATCTAACGCACTTCTCCACAGCCTTCGGGTTCGTGATGAACGGCTGTATTTCCACTCCCCTCCTCTGGATCTCCGCGCTGTTCTGCATCCACAGATTCACTAATGTCACGCCGGACATCTCGTTCCCGTGCGTCCCCCCGAAGATCGCCACTCTCCTGGCCGCGTTTAAGCGCGCCGTGATGTTGTTGATGTTGCCATGGGACATGACTGGATGGTGGGAGCTGCGGACGCTGACGCGCAGGTCTGGAGGCTGTGGAAAGTTTCCACCTGGAGCTGCTACAGACGCGCCTTTTTAAATCCTCAGTCTGCGCTGCGTCCTGACGTAACGAGCCGGTCAGCTGTTACCGGGGCCAGGGGCTGTTACAGAAAGAACGAGGCCCATGGCCACCCCCTGCTCCTGCCACCCCAAAATAAAATAGACTACAGAAAACGAACCATTTTTTTTATATATATATAATCAGCCTTCTACAAAGAATATTGACAAATAAAACAAGATGGTTTTCAACTACCAAATATATAAAGACATGCATTTTCCCTACTCATGTTAAAATCAAAGTTTCCTCTTTCACTGGTTTACATATTTTAAGGTCTTAAAGGGAAACACAGTTTTTTTTTTACATTGGGCCCTTGATTTTACGTTATTTCATCATGTTCTACTCACCCATATGAGTTTTGTGTCATTTGGAGCCATTCTGAAGATATTCCGTTAGGTTATATCCAAGTAACGTCTTCCTATGAGAAACGAGTTGAAGGCAAAAACTAAACTGTTCATAATTTATTCTTTATGGTACGCCAGCATTCATAACATGTAGGCGAATCACTGTCCCCCAGACATCAGCGGTTATATTTTTTATATTTATAGTTTTTAAAACAAAGCGGAGTGTGTATGACGTCATCTGTGCGTGCCGGCTACTGTTCATTTTTCCTGTCCGCTGAACTGCTGCTAGTTTTACTCACGTGCCTGGAAGATGTCTAGTGCTACTACCACAGAGGATCTCGCTCTGGAAATGGAATTGAACGATTCAGATTAGCTAGCCGAATCAATAGAAGAGGTAGTGCGTAGCTGCCTGGTGTAATGTACATTGGTTAAATAAAGTTTTTTTTTTGAGAGAAAAAAAAATCCAGGTTGCCGCGCAGATGACGTCATACACTCGTCGCTTGATTTTTGAAAGATATAAATATGAAAAATATAACCACGGATGTCAGGGGGACAGTGATTCGCCTACATGTTATGAATGCTGGTGTACCATAAATGATAAATTATGAACAGTTCAGTTTGTGCCTTCAAGTCGTTGCCCATAGGAAGACGTTACTTAGATATAACCTAACGGAATATCTTCAGAACGGCTCCAAACTCTTATGGTTGAGTAGAACATGATGTAATAACGTAAAATCAAGGGCCAAATGTAAAAAAAAAAAAAAACGAAATTCCCCTTTAAGCAGGGCGTACACTGTGCAATTTTTTTCAGTCGTTGCACGCAGCTGCTGCGTTAAGTCGTACAGTGTGAGTTCAAAGCTCACGATTTATGTTTGGCCCGATGCTCTCATGCGATCTACCTGCTCACACTGTACAGATGAAAAGCATGTGGGACTCAGCTCCGCAGTGAGATGGAGCTGCTCTGACTCGTCTATCCGGAAGCCAAACGAGTAGAAGGGGGATATGAAGCTCATTATAGTGAAACGCGTTGCCTTGTCAATTTGTGCATTTTTGTACTGAAAGCCCTAAAAAGAAAAGGTGATGACATATTTGGACAAAGACATGGCTGAGAAAACGTGGCTACTACGGTCTGTCAATTTTACAGAAAGAACTCCATTTCATTCATTGCACCTCCACCATGCTTCTGTGTTTACATCTGAGAGGAGGAATAAAAAGAAGAATACTTGTTTGCGCATGCCCACTGAGCGTTTTGCCCAAGACAGTTGGGGGAAAAACAAACGTTTGATTTTCTCCCGACCTCACGATTCCTGATCGGGAGGTGGTCGTGAGAGGCTGATATCCGCTCTTAATCCGTTGTACACTACATGACGCACGATCAGGCTGAAGGTCGGCCCGATCGAAAGATTCTAGCACGACTGGAAAATCTCCCCAAAAATCACAGTGTACGCCGGGCTTTAGGGAAACGGCTGTTCCAACTGTTGCATTTCCGAATTCTCCCGAGTTGTGCTCGACTTTACACGAGTGAATAAAGTCCATGTGATTGGTCAGTTATCAATCAGGAATAGTGGTGAAGATGTGTTAAAGCCCTTGATGTTCCTTTGCAATAAATGTGATTAACTCCAGGGTTCATATTCTCGTTTTTAACACCTGAACAGACATTTTGTTTGTCTAATATCCTGCAAACGACAGTGAGAGGATCCTCTTCCTGTCATCGCTGCATCATGCACTGGAAGAACGATCTAAAAATAATAATTGATCTGACAATGGAATGAGTACTTTTAAAGTTGTACGGAAACGGCTGTTCCAAACTTTGCATTTCCGAATTCTCCCGGGGTGGTGCCCGGCTTTACACAAGTAAATAAAGTCGATGTGATTGGTCAATTATCAAGGCGGAAGGTTCTCAAGCAAGTTTGGTTGTGGCCGGTTTGTCGGAAGCATCATGCTAACAAGTTACCAACTTAGTACTACTAGGTTCCCAATGAGAAATCACACTGGGAGCAAGAAGCACTTAGCAACAACACTGTCAAGGAACGCTATGGACAGCGGAAACATGCAAGAGGAGGAGAGTTTTGTGTCAGAGGTCATGGATGAGTCTCTTCTGTCATACATTTTTTATTTAAAGGAGGAAAGCAGGGACAAAGATGCTGTGAAAGAGGAGGCCAGTCAAAAATCGACCGTTGATATATGATTGGCAGAATTTGGGTGTACAAGCTGACGTATAACTAACTGGCCTGCATAAGATAACGAAAAAAACCCCACAGATTTTAAGACAGGATTTAAAAAAAAAATAGAAATGTTCAAACTTTTGGGACAATATGGTCTGATAAAGAGTACATTTATGTACATGTTTAAGCCAGAATGATTTGACATTTAAATATGACGTCTCTACGACTTTAAAGGAATAGAGGACGATCGTTTATTTCTGGGTGGATCATCTAAATGAGTGGTCCTCCTAATTGTCATTGTAGTGATATGTTAATGTGAGGCCGTCCTATGTGCTCGTCCCGTTAGCTATCCTTTTCTGCGCATGCACACTTTCAGGTGTATATCTGTGGGGAGCTACGGTTTCAGTCATCGAAGTTCACCTTTCTCACTTTTTCTTTGAAGAGAAAAAGTTTTTACGAAGTATATGAGAAGAAAGGCCTAAGAAGAGGCAGATATATCCCTGAATGCTTTGCGCGGAGAGCTCCCCTCACAAAGCGTTATGACATTTGCTGTCGCTACCTTAGAGCAGCGCCAAATAAAGCAGGCGCAGGCACCGCACAGTAGAGGAGTGCAAAAAGCAGTGATCTTCTGCCTGTACGGTCAGCTAACAGAGTTCATCATAAGGTCCACTATATAGTCTCTGCTCTATATAGTGATTGAGGGATTTAGGGGTTAGGGTGGACGTTCCGGAACAGTAAGCTTGTGTGAGCTATGAGAACAGCAACTTTTAAACCGAGCGTGCATGACGAGAAATAGGCTCGTGCATGCTTTCGCACATGCGTTTTTTTTTTAAGTGGAGAGGGCAGGTCTTATAAAAAAATTGTGAAAGTACCCCACACTACCTTTAAGATTACTGTGCCTTTATATAATTTGATTGGTCTACTGATAAGGGTTAAAAGAAAGCTCAGCTGTGGATGTGCTTTGAGGTATTCCCTCAAATATACCAATTTCTGGCATCACTGCATAGGAAAAACTGAGTAAAAATCAGCTATCATCAGGAGTGTGGATGCTGCTTAGTGTTTTAGTGTAAAACATAACTTCCCTGTATCACTGAATAGGAAGTAGTGCAGCCAAGTCACTGTATGTGCACCATGCCTTCACAGATTGCAGCAACCTGTGTCAGCTCCAGTTTTCTCTGCAAGTGCTAAAGGGGAGCTGAGCATTAAACTGAGGGTGCTATGAAGCGTCCACTGTTCTTCATTTGTTTAATTCACATAGATGCAAGTAAAAGCAAAGGTGTGCACACCACTCATATGTGCACATGTCAACAATAAAGTGGATAATGAATATGTAGAGTTCTGCTAAACAATTAAAACATATCAATACAAGTATAGTGGGTATAGTGACGTTTTATGCAAATTTATTAACAAAATATTTCATATAACTGTTTTGATCCTCTATTTTTCTCATCAACAGGTCAACATTGTGTCTTATAAATACTTCTGTTAAAAATGCTTCCATATGAAACAAAATTAATTATAAAAAACAATGAATTAAAAATCCAAAGGTTTGAAAGTTGTCAACCTAAAACTGATGACTATTTACAATAAAATGTAATAAATTTCATATGTGATCAGGGGTTTAGGTCTGAGAGAAAGTCCTCATCTGGATTATGAAGTCTTCTTTTAGCTTTAGCTTCTTTTTTCCTCTTGTTACACAGAGAGGAGGACTCCTGGAGTCCTGGAAAGCTTTTAGACTGAGTGGACATGGAACCATTCTGTGGCTTTGTTCTGTCCTCTTTGGTTTGTGTATCTGGAGTTTCATGGAATGATTTCCAATTAGGATCATTTCTGTCAGCATGTTTCTTCTTACTCCTCTTTATTACATGACCAGATGTTTGAGGACCTGAAGCACCTTCAGTTAGAGGTTCTGGGACCCGTTTCTCAGTAGATACACCGGAAACATGAGATGTTTCGCTGTGTTTTCCCTCTGGTGTCGTGAACAGCTTTCGACTGGTATGAAGTGAGCTGCAGACGTTAGGAGAGGAGTTTTCAGATTCAGCTGGCTCAGCGGCAGATGGGGGGACCTCCTGTGTGCCTTTTTGTTTCTTCTTCTTCTTAACCAAAGCTGAGAGTTGAGAATGCCCCTCATCAGAAACGCTCTCCAAAGTTCCCATGAGGCTTTTGTTTCTCTTGCGTTTCTTCTTCCTGACCGCTGCCTCGGATGTTTCCTCTGCCTCGCTTTCCTCCCTCTCCAGGACTCTTGCTGACCTCTTCTTTTTCTTCTTGCCCCCTCCTGATTCTAGCACATGTTCAGGACCATCTGCTGATTCGCTGCTGACCTCAGGCTTTCTAGAACAACCCGTATGAGCAGATGCAGACTGCAGGGGAGGGAGCTGTTCCTCATGAAGCTGGTCGACTTCTTCCTCTTGATCAGCAGTAAGGAAGGAAGAGCTCCTCCATCTGTTCTCCAGCTCAACATCTTGCTTTTCTTTCAGAGTATCGTCAACGCTTTCACCTTCTTCAGGAATTTGGATCAACTCTGACACTCTTTTAGTTTTCTTCTTTTTAACAGTAAAGTTTGTATTTTCCACCACAGCTGCAGCATCAGTCTGATTTTCATCAGAAGGCAACTGGTGTTTCTGCTTTTTGTGCTTTTTTCTTTTCGAGCCTATAGATTCTTGTGCTTTCTCAGCAGATTCTTCATGCTCTGACTGATCTATTGCCTCTAGGTGTTCTGTTTGTGTTTGATGCAGATTTGAAGAACTAAATGTTTTTTTCCTTTTTTTCTTTGGAACATGTCGACCATCGGCTTCTCTGGTCTCTAGGGCGTCCATCTCTTCCCTCCTATCCTGACTACTTATACTAGTTTCAGTGATCCTAACAAAGTCATCCTCACTCCAATCCTCTGATTGTCCCCTCTCCTCCCGTCTCAGATCTTTTCTTTCATGTTTATTCTCCTCTTGCTGACCCTTTCCTTTATCTACATAATCATCCCCTCCTCTCTTTTTTGTCCTCTCCTTTGTAACAATTATGAAACGATCTGTATTATCTTCACCTCCCAAACTGCTTTGTTTGCGCCCTATAATATGAGGCTCTGCTACTTCTCTGTTGCATTGCTTCATGCGTGCGCCGCTATCTGTAGCATCGCCGTCGTTATTGGGCATCTTTCCACTTTCGTTTTGATGAGGACCCTTCGCTCTGTTTCCTTCTTCCGCATATACAGTCATTTCCGTTTCAGCAGGGAGACCTCCAGCCTTCGTCACAAGTTTAAGTCCTGACTCCGACTCTTCTGAGTCCTTGTCCGACTCCTTCGATTTAGAAGAGGACGTTCCCATCGACAAGGGCGTCCAAGTCGATATTCTACGCGTCGCCTTTCCCCGTCCTCGCTGTGTTCTGTATCCTGCATCGTTAGGTTTTTTTGTACATGGCCCTTTCTCGTTGGATCTCTCTTTTCGAGTGTACCAAGGTTGGGAGGTTTTTCCGGTAGATGCCACATAGCGTTTCTTCTCCTGTGAGTCAACAAACAGTTTTAAATTGTAAATTTACCTCAAGCAGATTCCCAGAATGTTATTTTTTGTTTAGTTTTTAGCGACACACTCACCACCACTTTGAAGTCTTTATCCTCTGTGGTTTCATCGTCTTCTCTACAACAGAGGCACATGATTAAGAGTCAGCCTGACATGGAGCCTCCCTCAGAAGTGTTAGTCTGAGCCAAAACTCCTCACAGTACTGTGGAAATGTTTAAACCCAAACATCAAGATGAGTTCTGCAATCAATTTGTAATTCAGGCGTTTTATGCCACAGTTTAACATCCTTCCCTTTCAAACAAGTCATATAGATCTACTCTACATTAAGCATTTTCAACACATTTAACAGATAATTGATTTCTCCTCCTCAGTTCTGCATATTTTGAGCTCCTTTCAGAACGGGCTGTTTTTGGGCTCTGTCACCTTTATGTAAAGAAGATGTAGCAGGTCCCAAAACCAAACACTCACTTCACACACATTAAAATGGCTGCGTATGGATGAGGAAAGGCACAAATGTCCAACTTTTACTCAGAGGCATACTCAGAGTACTCAGAGGCTGAAGAAATGGAGCCTCCTGATGCAGAGAGCGGTTTCTGAGCTTTGGTTTGAGTTTTTGCTTGACAAGAACTCCTCGCTTCTATTCCATGATGACCCAAATCCCAAAGGACGCAAGCCTCCTGTTCCAGGCTGTGAACCATGTTTTTTTTTTTTAATGAAGGTTACACCACAGAACCATTTAAGTTAACTTTCTCCAAGCGTCCAACAGAACTGTCTGCAAAAGATCCCCGAAATTGCGCCAAACGCAACTGCTTAACAGATAAAAGTGAAACCCTTGTACGTAAATGTTTCTTGCTTCTGTGTTCCAATATTAGAATTCACAAATATCCCTTTTTCTGCTTTTTAATACACATTTTAGCCTTTGTTTTAATGGGCATTTGAGGAATAAGCCCACTGGATGTGAGGGAGAGCTGGGACCTCATTATAACGCTGGCCTGGGTACATGACCGACTCCTGGCCTGAAAAAAATCTCCCAGTAGAGCCCCGGGTGGTGGAGGTTGGATGTGTAACTATGGCGTAATTTTGGTGCCACCGAACTGAGCGTGCAGTGAGAACTTGCACACTCAGACAATGCACTCTCTGCGCGCTCAGCTTCATCTCTGCTTCCGCCCAGCTCAGCAGGATTAACTGATTTCGCTTACAGCTGTTAGCCGCTTCTTAATGTGGCTCATCCACCATCCTCCTTGCTTACGCTTCTGACTGCATCGGTGGAGTCACATGATTATCCACCTGCTGCAGCGTGATAAAGGGGAATGGAAATACCACCCACACTCACACACACATGAAAAACGGCAGAATTAAGTTATTTCTTTTACTGACATGGGAAAATTGTTGCTGGTTATTGTAGTGAATGATGGTGAAGGTAAAAATCTGGTTTATCGCCAAGCCCTACTTAGAACAGATTAGTTTGAGGATGTGCAATACTTTTCACCAACTGAATAAAAACAAAACAAAAAAAAGCAAGGGAGGAGAGATCCAGAGTTAGAAACAGCTGATTATGGCTGAAATATTGGGGTCATGAGGGACTCAGACCTGAATCAGTCTTTTATCACCTGAAGAACAATTCAGTCTAATAATCACTGAACGGACCAGCACCTCAATACATAACAGATTTGTTGATCAACCTCTCAGACCACTCATCTCTTTTAGTTCAAGAACTAGATCCAAACATGGAGAAGAAACCTTTAGTTCCTATGCTCCACCGATCTGGAATAAACCCAAGAAAAATCCATTTATTTAGAACTGGTTTTGACTGTTTAAGTTAAACCTCTAACTGAGGCATCATTAGTTGAAGTTTGTGGGCCAACTTTTTTGTTTCCTTCACTAGCTGCTCCTTTATTCCCCTTCAAAAGAATTTTGCTGAGGAGGACAGATGTGATTTTTTTGGGTTAAAACAAACCTTCATATAATGTAAACCCTTTAAAACCCTTTATTGAGCAAGTTACTTTTTTGATTTAATTTAAGTTAATTTATTTATCTGACACGGACAGTGTACATTAAAAAGCATTCCTGCAAATGCACCAGAATTAGCTAAAAAGGCTATTTTTCATGTCTCTGGACAGATCTTAAAATTGTCTACCTAAAAAACACAACAGTAAACATGCTATAATGTAAACTACAAGTATAAAAAGAAATAAAAACAGCTATAACTCCTCAAAACTGATTTAACACTTGCATACCCCTTACAACCCTTACCCCATCTCTCAGTGAAGTCTAGAAGCACAAGATCTATATCCAGCCATTCAGCAAAGATACCGCTCCATGGCTGTACATCTTATTTTGGCATTTGACCAATTAGATGAGCCCTTGAATGATATATTACCTACTGTAAATCAAGTTGGAAAAAAAAAACAAGTCAAGAAAAAAGGCAAAAAGCTAATTGAAAAGTTAAAAAGTAAAAGTTAAAAAGTTAATGAACCCAGTTAACAATTATATTTAGGTTTATACCCCACTGAGAAATTATGTTGGACCAAAAAATATTGTGTTTCTTTCGTGTTTTTCTTTTGTTTTTAATGAATTTCTTATAGCAGCACTTTTGTTATTTTTCTTAATATATTCAAACAAGTTGGCATTTGTTGTTATTACATTAACTTTGATTAAATTGTTAAATAAAGCAGTTGGTTAATCAAACTTACTCTGACAGTGGAGATATGGTCTCTCCATCCATGTCCAGGGTTGGCAGAGATGCCAGCAGGTCTTCTCCTGTTTGGTAACCCTTCCAGAGCTTCTCCACACATTTGAAGTAACCTCCCATTGCATAGTACTGAAAGCACAATTAATATGCATATTGTTCATTTTTTCCCCATGCAACTTCAATAAAGGGGTATTTAAGTTTTTTTTCTGTGGGCTTACATGCAGTTTTGTGCTCTGATAATAAGATAACCTAGTCTTTTTCCTCTTCTTGATAAAACGAAAGATGAACCTTGGTGTTGTGTAGGATCTCTTGATCGTTTTTTCTCCCGTTTCTGCGCTGAAGGTGTCATATTGAGGCTCTGATGATCTCACGTTGGGTGGTTTACATTTCTGAGTGATGAAGAAGCTGTCACCTGAATCACTGCGCAGACAAACGGATACAAACCCAGAATAAAAATCGGATTCTATCCAACTGCTGGATTGGTATCATCAGTCTTTACCTGCTTGTATCCTTTTCACTCGACTGTTCCAGGGTGCACACGAGGTCTCGCGATATTTGCTTATGTTGATCAGACGGGGAGTTATCCGAGGGAACACATGAAGAAGACGGAGCCGACTCCGACATCTTGTTAGCAGCTATTAGCCACAGACATTAAGAACCGCGAAGCTATACATTAAGAAGAAAAAAGAACATAGAAAATCCCCAAATTAGTGTGGAGTTAGTCAAATAACCGGCATATCTCCAATGAAAAAGACAACAGAGAAAGTGTTCAGGCATTAGCATTGTGAGGAACGCAGGAAGAAGCGTCACGTGAGCATTAGACCGGAAGTTTGCGACGGGGGCTCCAGTTCTTCTTCTTTTCTTTTATAGCGGTTACCAAGCAACTTTAAGGTGAAAACCGCCACCTACTGTACATGAGTGTGTAGTAACATCTCACACCCACTACATTCTATTTTTTTTTTTATTATGCAGAAAAATAGATAATGCTTTCCTTACTGAATAGAAGTCCTTTATGCTTCCTACCGTTCCCTGTAATCCTTTAAGACTCCATTCCTGATGTTTTACAATTCATCAGTACCTGTTCTACATTTTCTTTTCCTCCATATCCCTTACATTTATAAATATTTTTATTACTGGTTAAACAAAGAATGCCATTTAGATAGATATGACCTACTCTTAATCTAGTCATTATTATTTCCTCCTTTGTATTTTTCTATTTTAAATAATGCTGATTTATGTATGTTATACAAGTACCTTCCTTTATCATCTTCCTCCCACCTTTTTTTGTAACATTTCTGTTTCTTTACTCTTAATGCTTCAGTTTTCCAAACTAAATCATTCCTGTTGTTGCCCCGTCTAAAGCCCTTCTACTTAATTTATCTGTAGTTTTTTTTTTACTTTTACTTGTGCTGGTACCCAACAGAACCAAATATCTATTAGGGCTCACAGGCTCATTATGAGTGGCAAGTTTTTATTTTTGTTTTGTTTTGTTTTAATAGATTTTTATGGGACTTTGTTAAGTGGTTACAGAGAATACATGGATAACAGTCGATAGATTAAAAAAATAATAAAAGCCTACCCCTAAAAATTCCCAAAAATAAAAAACAAATCCACTGGACTTTATTTCCAGGTTTGAAGATGTTTCACTTTGCATCCAGGAGGCTTTTGGTAAGTGAAACTTCTTCAAAGTTGGAAACAAAGTCCACTGGATTTTTTATTTTTTTTTAGTTTTGTTTAGTTTTTTTTTTTTTTTTAACCAGCACATGTTATAAAAAACATTAAAGCATCTGATACCCTAACAATTCACTGTGGTCACTCAATTTTTAAAAACAATGTTAATATAATAAACAATATTCTTTATTGTTAAGATTAATTTACACCTTAAAATTAGGATTAAAGACATTACACATCCAAAAGTATCAATTAAAAAGTAGCAATTAAATATTTAGTCTCAAAAATTATTTTAGTTTTAAGTCACATGAAAATTGACGGATATAAAAACTATAAATTCAAATCAAATGGAATGAAAATTTCCTCCCCGGAAACCCTCATTTCCAAGCCTGCCTCTCACAATATGGCGGAACCAATCACGTTTCGTTGCTGTGTTGACGAAGAATCCCGTGACCAATCATCAAAGAGCACAGAACGGCTGTTAGAAGCAAGAGCGTTCTGTCCATCTTACACTTAAAGTTCAAAGCTAACGTAAAACATAGAGCAAATCTAATTGATATTGCACTGGATTTATATAAAACAACAAAAGCAGAAATGTCATATCTTAATGATGCCGTAATTAGTATTATTTCTTTATTAATATAAGCTTAATTTCTCAGTTGTAAACTAAAGGTTATTGAGGCATGTTGTTGCAGTTGAACCTAAAGGAGGGTAACCATCTTGTCAGTGTCTCCTCTTTGTTTGAACTTCAACCGTGCAAAGTCCTGCATGTGACAGCAGAGCTAATAGGCAGATTCACAGTCTCCATAGGAGAAGCTATGGCAGATATCAGCAAAACAGAGAAAGTTCAGCTGCACGCTCCGGTCCTGGAAGAGCTGCGGGGAGGTAAGGACTTCATCCTGGAGAGATGAAGAGTGACCTGTCCATGCATTGCATTTTCATTAAGCCAGGGCTGCTTGCTGGTTTCAGTGCTGCAGGCTGGGCTTGAAACCAATTTTGCAGAAGTTCAAGTTAGTGTTGTGGAGTGTCCAGATCTCACCCAGGAGCCTTTCCACTTCCCTGTCAGAGGTATTTACAGACATGATGCACATGCTTGGATAATTCTCTCCTTTCATGTTTTGTCTCATTTCTACCTTTCTATGTTTTTGTTTTGCAGGTCTGTGTGGGAATCCTCGCATTACTGATGTTGGAGGTGTGCCATATCTGATCCCTTTGCCTCAAAAACATAAGGTAGTTTTTTTGAGTTGGCCTTTTAGAATAAAAACAACACAAAATAAAATCTAATCTAATGAAATCCCTCCTTCTATTAGGAATATGATATGAACATAATATCCAAAGAGCTGGAGCTGCCAGGAGCTTTTATCCTTGGAGCAGCAGCCGCCCCTTCCAGAATAGTCGGGATGAACGCTGAGGTGAGTGATCAAATGCACTAAGGCTTATGTGTCTATTTTTATATAAATATCTTAGTCTAAACAAGCAAAAATTAACCACAGTCTTCCTATTTTCTTCTCATGATTTGTTGAAAATATTCACCATTAAGTGAAAGTAACAAAACTTTTTGCTTTAAATATTTTTACTCAGAGCTCAGAGATAGTTTGGATTAGACAAATCATCCTTTTGTACTATGAACTAGTATGTTTCTGTTAGTAGCCAAGGCCTTTTAACGCTGATTAAAGAGTACATTTTCACAATTTGCATCTGATTGCAAAGATTCAGGTGCTTTTTGGAGATGGTTGCAACTCCTTACAAATACAATGTATTTTTCCTTAATGGTATAGTGGAGGATTTTCATAAATTTTTGAAAAGACCCGCGAAAAAAATGCACAACCCAGTACCTGCTCCAGAGAGGGAACCCCTATTAAACGTGAATGAGAGCGTGCACAAGCCCATTTCTCCTTGTGCACGCTCTGTTCAAAAGTTTGCATCGCTCATACAAGCTCACTTTCCAAATAAAGATTTTCAATTTTTCCACTATGTCAGACTCCCCACCGGTAGGTGAAAATGGGGACGAGCACGTAGGACGGCCTTATGTAAACATATCACCAGAATGATTGACAATTAGGAGGACCGCTTATTTTGATGATCCACCCGGAAAAAGAACATCCTACACTATACCTTTAATAAAAGGATTCTTCTCATTATTAGTTTCTGTCATAAATGTAAACCCTTTATTGTCCCACAATGGGGAAATGAACTCTTTGCATTTAACCCATCCCTTTGGGGAGCAGTGTGCTCCCATTGTGTGGCGCTACGGGAACAGTGTGTCGTTAAGAGTCCTGCTCAGGGACCCAGGGTGGCAGTCTGTGGGAGGGTGTAGGACTTGAACCCAGAACCTCCGGCACTAAAAGCATCACTCTAACCACCACTCCCCTATTGCATATTACTATTTTGTATCAAAAACTTCTTATATTAATTAGTATATTCTGTAATTCTCACATGGTAAGCTTTTACAATAGGAGAATTACATATTTTATTAGATGAGTATCTTTATCATTGATATTTTAATTCAAATATAAGTACTTTTATATATCTAGAATATTTACTGTATAATTCAAAGCTAATTAAAAGAATTGTAAAAAGATATACACCAGATGCATGCACATGTGCAAACGCATAAACCTGTTCCAGGCCTAACCTGATTAACTGTATTTATTGAAGCAAAAACCTAATGAATAAATGTTAAAATATACTGTTATATGATTTGTTTCCTATTAAGGCTCCAACTTCTTGTCAAACATGAGAAAGTCCTGATAAACTATGTGACCTTGATACGTGCAAACCATATTAACTAAAAGTAAACTTATCACTACTTTAAACTGTTTAGATTTGAACTAAGTTACAAAAACTGACAAGAGTTTACAAAACATAACTTATCATTACCATTAAAATGGTATTGGTCCAATAAAATCCTGGAGTAGCTGCAGAATTTGCTAGCTTTTTCCTTAGAAAGGAGGACCCTGACTGTTTTATCTGTTGCAAAACAAAAGTAAACTGTCATTTTTAACAGCAGTAGGTAATATTTATAATACCTCTTTTGATAGATTGACAAAAAATTACCTTTCTTTAAATCATTTTAGAAAGGTCTTTTTTCCTTTCATTCTTAATCCCCCATGTTTCTCTGGAAATTATTGTTCTAGATTTGATTATTCAACCGTTGCTTTGGCGCCCCTCAATATATGGCACCCCATATTTTACATACCAAATTCTCACAGCACTGGTTAATTATTACCGTTTACCAGGAAAACTTTTTACCTGGTGTCCAATTTGTGATGCTGATAACATATGGGGGCGATGATGATTCTCATCCACTGCTTTCTACTCAATCACATCCCATCACCTCAAAAAATTGAATTCTAAATAAGTCATTTTTTCTTAAAAGAAGTGCATTTTTTCTGGGTTTTTTTTTTTTGGTAAGTGAGACACTTTGCCAATAGAACAAGGCAATTTATATTTAGAATGAGAAAAAAACAATTACAATGTCATATTTCAACTGCATATTATCTAATTAAGAGCAACATTACTCATTCTATTGGCAAATCATCTTATTACCCGCTCAAATTGAAGTGAAATACACTTAATTTAAGAACTTTTTACTTATTTCTGGATCGTTTTTGCAGTGATCACACAGGACAGACAATGCATGCATGCATGCCTTAAAACCTAAGGGCAATATGCTTTTTGGTTTACATATGCGCTGGGATTCTTGTGCTGCTTTGCAACCCCCAGCAAAACTTATATTTCAGTTTTATTTCACATGCATATGTATTTACAAAGAACATAACATGTTGGTACAGCTCAGAGATTTTCACGACTTGTTTTTATTGTGAGGTTAAAAGTATCGAGGTTATAATGTGACATTTACCATTTATGTGGTGCAACTCAAAGATCTGACATTTTTTTCAGGTTGAACGGTAAAGCAGTGGACTCCTGAAAGTGATGTCATTCTCTGTAATACTTGCAGGTCTTTTTTTTTCATGTAGACGTTTATAAAATAAACTTTGTGACCTGCAGCTCATGCCTCTTGTCCTCACTGAGGCGGAGGGACGACCGGCTGTCAATGGGAGCTACTTTTCCTCTATCAACCCAGCAGATGGCCAGTGTCTGCAAGAAAAGTACAGTGACAAATTCTCTGACTGCAGCTTTGGACTGTTGGGGAATCTATATGCCTGCGAGGGGAAGCCTGGAAAGGTATCAGCAGTAGAGACAAT